GAAGAAGAAAATACTGAGTATAATTTGTAGCAATGGTTTTTTGTTGCATATTGTCTTGTCTTTTGCGAGGAGTATTTATACCTCAAAAACTCATGATTGCTGTCAGTGTGGTTAGTAGGTGATCATTAGGCACAGGCAACGTGTGCACGGGTTCCTATGAGGAATGCCTTCTCTTTTAACTGCTCGGGATCCCGAGCAACCAAGGCTGTGTCATCGGCCTGCCGACTGTTCAATGAGCTCCTCTCGAGAAGGATGTAATAAATGTCCAGCCTTAGAGACATTTATTGTCTTTCACTTCTGAGCCTTACATCATTAAATGCAGTCTCATCAAGGGAATGGTGTAATTAAATGCTTGCTTTCCCAAGTCGTGTGTCAGCAAGGGCATCCGATCTTTCTGTCTCTGATGTGACACAATATGCCACGCGTCCATTCCCCATTGGTTGTGTCCCCTGCCTTCCTGTGCCTTCTGACACCAATTGTGTAAGACGAGGTCATGAAAGCTAACTTAGCCCAGCCTAGGCTAGTGACCTGTACATCAATAGCCTCTGCAGGAGCAGAGAACGCCATCCTGGACGGAGGTACATCTCGGTACCGTGGGCGATTGGTACATCTCGGAGCCGAGATGGGAGGTACATATAGTGACCGATGTACCATATCAGACCGAGGGATACGTGTCGGTACGTAAACGTACTGGATGCCACTTGATCCCTATGACAAGTACCTCGGGGGAGAGGGACTTATGAACCGATGGGTACGTGATCTCAGTAACAAGGATTTAGTGACACCGAGGACACGTGTCTTCATCTTGAAGTATTTTGAAAATGTCCCATCAACTGCCCCCAGCCTTCGATCTTCTGACACCGAGGACACGCATCGTAAGGAGAGGAAGGGTTTTACAACAACCCCAACTGCTTCATCATTGCCTGTAGCTGTTTTCCTCTGCTTAGGACATCGTGCGCATTAAATGCGCCTTTTCGTACTTCGCGCCCAATGATGGGATTGGTACTATATATAAATGAGCTTCCTCTCCTCTTTTCTCATTTCGTCTTTCCGAACTTTCTTTAGAGAAGCCTTGCCTGAATCTTCGCCAGAGATCTCTTTCCTGCCGTTGTCAACTGCCAAACCTTTTCACTGAAGTCTTAAGGCCAGCAGACCCATCCTTGCTTCTGAACATTCTAAAAGGAGTCGCTTCAAGTTTTCCATAAAAAAAAACTCCTTTTTATATTCTGGTGAGTCCCAGTATCTTTCCTCTCTTCGTCCTTCTATCTCTTTTGGTTTTTCAATAACTGGAGGTGTCCCCGGTTGCCACTCAGCGACCAATCCTCGGGAAGCCTCCTTGGGGATCTTTGAGGGAAAAACACCCTCCACTTTTTATCACTTTTTGGAGATGCCTCGTCATCGCCCTGCCCCCGAGAATCCTCAGGCCAGTTCTTCGGGATCAGGGAAGTATAAAGTAAAGGGTGGTGAGTAAATTAATAGATTTAGGGTTAAGTACAGCATCCCCCCGTATGTAGACATAGAGGATTATAACCCGGTTGTGCACCCTCGTACCCTCGGTACCGAGGATGCAATGCCCTTTTATACCAAAGTCATCATAGAAGGCGGAATTAGGTTCCCTTTGCCCCCTCTACTTCTCCAGTTCCTCTCTGGCGTGGCGAATTTCAGTTTCTGGTGATAAGTGAAGTGCACCACTCCCAACGCATGCAGCCATGCTCGTCCCATGATCACATTGTACGGAGAGTCCGTATCAATCACGATAAACTCGGTGTTGATGATTAAGGGACCTGTGACAACTGTCAATGTGATTTTGCCTATGGGCAGGGCGAACGAGCCGTTGAATCCGATAAGGGGTGTCCTAACCTTGGTGAGGTCCTTGAGGCCAAGACCCATCCGTTTTAAAGTGTTAGAGTACATCACTTCCGAGGAACTTCTGGAGTCTATCAACACCCTCTTGACGTCGAACTTACCTATCTTCAGGGTTAAGACAAGGGCGTCGTTATGAGGAGTCACCACGCCTGTCAAGTCCGCGTCGGAGAACGTGATGCTGGGCTCACCAGTCCTGGCCCTTTTACTGGGTGGCCCCTCATTATCCTCGACTATCTTCCTTGTAAAAGCTACCCTCTTGAGATCGGACTCGAGTTCCTTGGACGTGGGGCAATCTAGCGGACATACATGGATGACATCTATGACGTTGTCCGGCTCATCGATCGGGGCAGGGGTGTGTCTCTCTTCCGGCCTGGGCTCTATGTATTCTTTCAAATATCTGTTTCGGAGCAATCTTTCCAAGAATGATTTGTATACCCTGTAGCTTTCGGTGCAATGTCTGAAATCCCGGTGATAGGAACACCTAACCTTTTGATCACGGGTGGAGGGATCGCTCTGCATCCTGGGCGGCCACTTGAAGAATGACTCATGCTTTATCTTATAGAGCAACTTGAAGATGGGTTCCTTGAACATAGTGTGAACTCCTTTGAACGACCCCCGGAGGGGGTAGCAGTCCCTTTCGGGGAGTATCCTCCCGCTCCCTCTCTTTTCTCTTAGATTGGAGGGTTCGGCCTTTGCTGCTTCCCATCTCGTCCTCGATCCTTGAGTACTTGTTTATCCAGGCCATCAGCTCGCCCATATCCGAGGGAGTCTTCTTGCTCAGGGATCGGTACAGGTCCGTGTCCCTTGCCAAGTCGAGCCTGAAAGACGCCACTGCCATGACTTCTGAGCAGCCCTCTACCTCATTAATCTCTTCCCAGTATCGGATGGCGTACTGCAGAAGGGTCTCGGATTCCCTACGTCTGAGCGTTAGCAATGATCCAACGTCTTTAGGCCGCTTACTCCCCGTAATGAATTGAGCTAGGAACTGCCTCGTCAATTTCTTTCACGATTCAATGCTGTTGGGGGAAGCGCCTCAAACCACTTCATCGCAGAGTCCCCCAAGCTCATAGGAAACACTCAACAGAGGAACCGTTGGTCTGAATGATACAGGGATATCATTTGCTTGTATTGCCTGAGATGGGCTTCGGGATCGGACCACCCTTCATAAGTTTTGAACCTCGGTATGACGAACTTTCTTGGAACCTCCATCTCTCTGATCTCCCTGGTAAAGGGTGTTTGCATGACCTCGTCTTTGACCTCATCCTGGACAGCCTTACTCTTTCTCCTGGATTCCAACCGGGCTCTGAGATCAATTTCCTCCCCAACGGGATGTCTTCTGAAGTCCCTGAGTTCATCAATAGGTCCCCCATTTCCTGGGCGCCGTGTGGATAGGGTTGAATCCTTCTCGGACTCATCTCCCTTCCTCCGTCTCGACAATCCTCGCCGGAGGTCGTCTAGGGCTAAAGGCCTTGCCTTCCTGGAATGGTCGTTAAGAGGGCGCTCATTGGCTCTCGGTCGCTTTGGGGCCCTGGAGCTTTCTGCCTTGTTATTTAAATGATTCCTTAGATCCTTCGTTTCTACCTCCCGGGCGGGGAGCCCACGAGAAAGGAATGAGTCCCCTGACCCTTCGCCGGAGGCGGCGAATTCGTTGAGCCGGCTTAGGACGTTCACATTGTCCTTTTCCAACTGTCGTAATCGATCCCCAAACTTTTCTTCAATCACCTCCGCCAGCTGATGAGCCAAGGGGGCGGATCCTCCTGACCTAATGCCCATACTGGTTTGAGGGGTAACCCTTCTTGACTGAATAGAGGCATTTTTATTCCCATCAGTGTGATCCCTCCCTCCATGGCGACATGGAGCTTGTAATTCGAGACTTCTTTGTTGGGGACCTTTCCTTTTTTGTCGAGTATTCACCATGGTCACTGTTCTTTATAGAGAAGAAACTAGGAAAACTAGTCGTTTCCCATAGACGGCGCCAGATTGTGCGTGCTGGATCTTGCACAATATAAACACGAGAACAGATCTCTCCCTTGGTGAACTCGAGTGAGTCAGTCGAGTGGTCAAACCCTGCTGCTTGGAACAGCCTGTGAGGTCCGATGGTAACCTGGAACAGTAATGGGAGACTCTCGTGGATCAATGGAACGATCCAGTAAGGCTGAGGAAGGTTCCTGGAACAAAGAAAGACAAGTTAGAAGGGTGCCAGAGTGTTTTTCGGCGTATCCTTTTTGACGATCAAGTCAATTTTTTGAGAGAGAGGAAGAAGAAAACACCGAGTATAATTTGTAGTAATGGTTTTTTGTTGCATACCGTCTTGCCTTTTGCGAGGAGTATTTATACCTCAAAAACTCATGATTGTTGTTAGTGTGGTCAGTAGGTGATCATTAGGCACAGGCAACGTGTACACGGTTTCCTGTGAGGAATGCCTTCTCTTTTAACTGCTCAGGATCCCGAACAACCAAGGTTGTGTCATCGGCCTGCCGACTGTTCAATGAGCTCCTCTCGGGGAGGATGTAATAAATGTCCAGCCTTAGAGACATTTATTGCCTTTCACTTCCGAGCCTTACCGCATTAAATGCAGTCTCATCAAGGGAATGGTGTAATTAAATGCTTGCTTTCCCAAGTCGTGTGTCAGCAAGGGCATCCGGTCTTTCTGTCTCTGATGTGACACAATATGCCACGCGTCCATTCCTCATTGGCTGTGTCCCCTGCCTTCCTGTGCCTTCTGACACCAATTGTGTAAGACGAGGTCATGATAGCTAACCTAGCCTAGCCTAGGCTAGTGACCTGTACATCAATAGCCTCTGCAGGAGCAGAGAATGCCATCCTGAACGGAGGTACATCTCGGTACCGAGGGGGATTGGTACATCTCAGAGCCGAGAGGGGAGGTACATATAGCGACCGATGTACCATATCAAACCGAGAGATACGTGTCGGTACGTAAACTTACTGGATGCCACTTGATCCCTATGACAAGTACCTGGGGGGAGAGGGACTTGTGAACCGATGGGTACGTGATCTCAGTAACAAGGATTTAGTGACACTGAGGACACGTGTCTTCATCTTGGAGTATTTTGAAAATTTCCCATCAGTTCTTCATGGGAAATCTTGGCAAAAGTGAGGGAAGATGAAACTAGGATCTCAAGCAGCATTTGCGAAGACTGGTAGTGGACACCAATGGCGACGGGGTTATGGCCCTAAGGCTGGGCGACTACAGAGAACTACTAGGCGACACCAGCGAACTACTAAGAGACGCTAACATGCTGGGAAGCGTCATAAAGGCAATAGGCAGCAATAACTTTAGCCTAGGCGACGGATATGGTACGATCCACGATGTTACAACAGTCCAAGGTGGCATCCATGGTGAGTTTTGGCAGAATGGTGATGCCCATCGTCAAGGAGGCGGCGCTGAAGTGAACATGGGTGAAGGCGCTAGACATAAGAAGCCTCTAAGCGACGCCGAGAAAGGCATGAAGGGCGATGCCATAGGCATTGGTGCCAAGATCAAAGAAATCGTCTTGGAGGGCATGAAAAAAGGTGGCGCCAACTGGGAAGACAACACCTCCTGCATGCAAGAGGGCGGCGCCAAATGTATTGATAGTGGCTCGGTCTGCATGCAAAAGGGTGGCACCTATGGTCCTTGGCTGAATGGTGACTCTAGTTGCACTGGCACCTTTCGCGTTGGTTCGATTGGTGCTTTTTGCACTGGTTCGATTGGTGCTGGACGACGCCAATGAGACGTTGGGTGGCACTAAGGCCCTAGGCGACGCTGTTGCGATGGATGGCGCTCATTTTGTTGGCGATGTCGGTCAGCGCAGTGGAGGCGGAGAATCCCCTTGCAACGAAGGTGACACCCAAAAAGCTGGTTGGAGAGGACTGGGCAGTGCCATTATTCTGGGCGGCATCAATCTGTCATTTGGCTACGGTAGGCATAGGTTGGGCATCTTTGGTGATGACAGGCGTAGATTAGGCGGCTCTAGTGACATCAGACACAGATCAGGCAGAGCAAGAGGGTTGGCTATGAGACCTCTTGAAGGTGTGGCGATACTTGACTTTCTTTTTTTGACACCTTCTCGACATTGAGGCTTCTTTGAAATTGTTTCTCTCTCGCTCTCTCTATATATATATATAATTCTTTTTTGCTGGCACCCAATCTAACAAAGGCGTGGTAGGGCATGCTTCACAAGATTCCCAACAAGGCAAAGGGGCTGATGAGGGAGACGGTTTGAAGGTAACTTCTATTTTTAGCTCAACTGAGTGTGATGATTAGATTATTCACATTATATCTTCATATTGTATTCCTCTTGCTATTTTGTGCCACTAGGTCGAGAGGGATGAGTTGATGTGCTTTGACTCCTTGGGAGAGATCATTTTTTACGAGGATGTCTTGGAGGTGGGCTTTAGGTTTCCCATACCCAAAACCATCTGTCGGATTCTAGGGCACATATCACTTACTCTGGGGAAACTAACCCCGAATGGTTGGAGGATAATCTTGGCATTCTTTTTACTATGGCGATTACTACACAGTGCTGATGTTCCTCCACTTTTCAAGGAGTTTTTGACGTCTTACATACATAACCCTAGTCCTTATCAAGAATGGTATTGCTTTGCCCCAAGGTCAGGCAAGCTTATTTTTTGACTGCCCTCGAATTGTCATAGTTGGAAATCTAGGTTCTTCTTTGTTAGAGGTGAGTGGGTCGTAGAGGGAGATCGTGACTTAGTGCCTTCAAGGTGGGATACTGTTTCGAGGACCAAGATAGGTAAGAATTTGACATTTGCTTTTACATCTTATCATCATGTCCCTATACTTACCGCACATTTAGTTTCTTTGTAGCTCCACCCACATTATCTACGGGGCAGGAAAGTAGCCTCCAAGTCATGTAGGATCATCCCTTTAAAAAGTTTTCAGCCATCATGTCTGCATTGGGTCCCCCCAAAGTCTCCCTAGGCAAAAGAGGAAAGGTATCTGATCCTTCTAATAGACTTTTGATGGTTGTGACTTTATAGGCTCTTTTTCTTACACCTATTCCACAAGTTCCACTATTGATAGAGCGATTGTGGAGGCACTTTGCACTTCTACGGTGCCATCTTCCCCTGCTTCTGCTAAAAGGGCGAATTCTAATGACCCCAGTGCTTCCCAATCGAGGTCCATTGGCCAGGTTAGTTCGTAAGAGGCGAGACTTGGTGATGTGCCCACTCCTTCCTCGGTTGTGACTCCATCACATTCCAGAACTAGTCCTAGTACGGTTGCAGGGATTGAGGCTCCAATGCAATCTCCTATGAGGACCAGAGCTCTACATAGCTGCCCTACTTCTAGTAGTGGTTTAGTATCCATGTTGCAGGACGTGATTCTGGCCAAGGAGTGACTTTGGGGGTTTGTGATCGCTATAGAGATCCAAGAGGTCGGCTCTCGAGGTCCAAAGGGCATCATTGGCACTACTATGGAGGGCTTTGCTATGGTATGCCTTTTACTCATCTTTGATTTTGTACTCGCTTCTTTTCCCTTATGTCATACTTTTTACATGTTTCTAGGTGGCCATCATTTTTCCCTTTTTGTTTTCAAGGACGATGAAGCTTGGAGAGGCATTCAAAGATCTGGCAGCAAAAGGTAGGCACGAGGGGCAGTTGAGAAGTAGTTGGAGCTCAAGAGGCTGTTGAGGAGCAGTTGAGGCTATCACAGGAGAGAGTTGTGCCCCTTGAGACCGAGATTTTGGAGTCACATGGATGGCCACCTAGCTAGAGGCTGCCTGCACGAGTGCAGAGACAAAGCTGCGAGCGTCCCACAAGAGGGACATTAAAGCAGAGGTCGAGCTATATAGATAGCTCAGGAGAGGGTTTTCATGATAGAGGCTAACCTTCGAACAACTCTTAATAAAGCTACCAGGAAAAGGGCTCACTCCATTGAGATAGAGAAGAAGAGGGATGTTGCTGAGAGGGTTATGGCAAACGAATTTATTGATGGTTATGAGGAACTTAAGGGGAAGATCTCAACAACTTTCCTTGCCTATGAATTTTCTGGATTCATCCACTATGAGGCACTAGACTAATGACGAAGAGGAAAGCTTTGATGAGAGTGGATTGGGGAGCAGTGAATGAAGTTAGGAGTATGACTCTTTTATCAACATGTGTCTCTTTTTGTTGCTAGGTCATGTTCTATATTTTGTAAATAGTTTATGAATTTCTATGGAATGAGAGACATTTTTTGACAAAGACCATCTTGCAAAACTTTATTTCATAATTCGAACTAGATAACAAAAAATTGACTAAAATAACAAGAGATAGTTTAAATGGTGACTACTGACTTGTACACCCACTGTCTTGCCCCAACTATTGGTAATATCTGTTCAAGTGCTCTGTGTTCCATGGATGGGCTAGTGCTTTCCTCAGGCAAGAAGTAGTTAGTCGTCACCCTCGAGTTGTAGTACTTGGTTGACACATGTACTCTGTATTCCTAAGCATGACTATCACCCTCTCCTCTTCTACCAAGTCGAGGTTGATGCAGAGGCACTCTTCATTAGCGGTAGGATCATGGTGTTGGACCCTAAGAGAGTGTACCCCAATTTCAACCAGTATGATCACCTCTATCCTATAGGCTAAGGAGAAAGGGGTCTCACCCATGGGGCTTCTTGGCGTTGCCCAATAGGCCTATAGTACTCTTGGGAGTTCGTCCACCCATCAACCCTTTGCACTCTCCAATCTAGTCTTCAGGTTGCAGAGGATGGTTCTGACGGTGACCTCAGCCTGTTTGTTTGACTGGAGATGGGCTGGGTTGTAGTAAGGTTGCTTGATTTGTAGGTCAACGTAGAAGTTGTTAAGGAGTTTGTTGTCAAATTATTTGGCATTATCACTTAGTATAGCATGAGGTACTCCAAAATGTAGACTATGCTTCTCCAGATGAAGTCTTTTCACCTTCTGGTCTGTTATCTTAGCCAAAGCCTCGACTTTTGTCCATTTAGTGAAGTAGTCGATGGCTACCACCACATATTTGTACTGGCCCTCACTCATGGGTAGAGGACCTAGGATGTCGATCCCTCATATGGAGAATGGCCACAGGATCTAGATGGTGGTGAGCTCTTTTAGTGACTGTCTAGGCACTGCCACAAAGAATTGACATTTTTTGCACTTACTCATGAACTCGCGAGCGTCTCTGATGATGTCAAGCTAGTAATAGCCTTGTCTTACTGCCTTGTGAGCTAGTGCACGCCCTCTTGAGTGGTTTCCCTATATCCCCTCTTGTATTTCTCTCATGGCATAATTCGCTTCGCGAGGGTGAGGTAGTGGAGCAATGGCAATGAGTAACTCTTCTTGTAGAAAATGTCATGTAGGATAACATATCTAGATACCCTTATTCTCAACGTTTTGGCTTCCATTGGATTTTCCGGGAGAGTGTCTTCCTCTTGGTAGGCCCGAATAGGGGTCATCCAATTGGCTTCAGAGAACACACAATTAACATTATCCTCCTCCTCTACCTTGATCCTGCTTGGCTAAAACTGGTGGCCTGTCAATGTTAGAACCATTAGTATATTTGTAGATCTGAATTTGGCGAGGGCATTTTTCATGGTTTTCTCTTCTCTGGGAACATGGTGGTTATGAAAGTGATTAAACTTCTTCAACAAAACTTGGACCACTGATAGGTACTCTTGCATTTTTTTCTCCGTTGCTTCAAAATCTCGTCATAGATAGTTTACTATTAGTTGGGAATCGTTGTAAGCCATTAGGCAAAGGCCTTCCATCTCGATTTCAAGCTTTAAACCTGATATGAGGGCCTCATATTCATTTTTTTTGTTTGATGCCCCAAAGTGGAGGGAGACAGTGTACTTAAGTGGAGTGCCATGGGGGCTGATCAACACCAGTCCTGTACCACTGCTCTAGTTGCTGGAGGATCCATCTACATATAGTGTCCAGCATGGTATAGTAGATTGAGGTGTGGGTAACGAGGGTATTGAGGGCTTCAGAGGAATAGGTATAAGGGAGCAGGGCGCCTCTTGTAAAACTCGGTTAAATTTAAACTTTTTATGAAAAAAGGGAAAAATGATAATTTGTCATTATGGTACGGGTTGAAAACCTAAATTTTTCTAAATTTTAGATGATGAAACGGACCTCACCGTTGAATTTTTCTTTCAAAATCTAGTTATCCCGTCAATTTTCGATGAATTCTGAAATAGTCAAATTTTTTGTGTTTTACGAGGCAGACGGGCCTCGGGTGACACAAAAATAAAATTGTTAATAAAATTTTGAAAATTGAAAAATAATATAAGGCAATTTTAAATAAAAATATTTTGAAGTTGAACTGAGGTGAAATTTAATCGTTTCAGGGGGCGAAAACGAACTTGGGAAAAAGAGGGTCGTGTGGCGCGTTGTAGGCCAAGTGTTGAGAAGCATATAACGGGGGAAAATCTGATTTCTCCCCTTATTCATCATTCGGTTCTAACGTGAGAGAGAAAGAGAGGGAAAAAGCTTGAATTTTCACCTTCTCTCTATGATCTACGGAGCTCGGGTGCCCAAATCAACTCGAGCCAAGAATTAAAGTCGATCTCCTCGACGAGGGCTATGCGACTATACCAAAAAGCGCAGGTTTTATTGAAGATCAAGGAATGAGATTTTTGGAAGCTAGGGATTCTAGCTCGTTTTTGGAGTCTTGGAGTTTCTTGACGTTATTTTACGCTTCAAGAGGTAGGGTGCCCTCCTACTTTGATTTATTTTCTAACCTAGGGTGTTATATGGAATGGGTAGGTTGACAGAGTTATATATCACTTGCCTGTTATTGTAAAGTTGGTGGAATTGGGTATTGGAAATGGGTAAGTTAAATTCTAGTGCGAATTGGTGATTAGAAATTTCTAAGTATGTGATTTCCTAGTGGAATGTGAACTGTGGGCATGTTATTTGTTTACATTAATGCCTTGATGAGTTTAGTGTGTTACTTGTATGATTATGTGATAGCATGCTTGGAAATTGTGTAAATGAAATGATGATTATATGCATGAGATATGAATTAACATGGAATATGTATAAATGTGGTTAAATGAGCTTATATTCCATTCATTGCATATGAGGCATGACATTGATATTGCAATGGTGCATTG